GGTCAATCCCACTATTCGTTGGTAAAAGAGTAGGCCAAGAGTTCGCGGTGGGTGGTGATGACTAGCTGCCTTCCCTCTAGTCTTACACTGCTAAATTAGGGACGGCTAGCGCAGATAGCCCTCGTGTAGCTTTGCGCGAAATTCCAAAACAAACAAACAAACAATCTAACATGCTTTTTTGTGCATTTTTATATGTGTAAAGTTTTAGCAGTCAATATCAAATGTTTTAAAGTGTTGGTAGAACTGAATATTTATTGCTTTTTGCCCGAACAGGCATTAAATATTTGTTTGTTTGTTTTGAATTTCGCGCAAAGCTACACAAGGGCTATCTACGCTAGCCGTCCTTAATTTAGCAGTGTAAGACTAGAGGGAAGGCAGCTAGTCATCACCACCCACCGCCAACTCTTGGCCTACTCTTTTACCAACGAATAGTTGGATTGACCGTAACATTATAACGCGCCCACGGCTGAAAGGGCGAGCATGTTTGGTGGGACGGGGATTCGAACCCACGACCCCCAGATTGCGAGTCGAGCGCCCCAGCCACCTGGCCATGCCGGGCCGGCATTACATGAAAATTACAGTTTATAATTAACCTAGATTAACTTATTCTGACCCCCAACTTCCGGTTTGATCACCCAGTCAAAGCTTTTACTTACCTTATTAGTCTCGCAATCTTATAATGTCATTTTTTGTGTCACAAAAGAAAAAAAAGGGTTGTTCGAACTAATTATATAAGAAGAAAAAAACTCGCCATCTGCTTTTTTTTTCTTTTTGCATTATAATTGCTTCTTTTAAGGTTATTCAGAGAAAGCGTGTTTGCATGGTGGTTTGTTGAAAGGAACGTTCTTCAAGGCTCGTTACTTATTTAACATTTCAGTGATGATGAATACAGATAAATCTACAGATGTTTCACTCCTTCATCGTATCTGATGAGCCTTCTTTCACTTTCTACTAGCCCGGCATGGCCAGATGCCTACGGGGGCGCTCGACTCGCAATCTGCGGGTCGCGGGTTCGAATCCTCGTCACACCAAACATGCTCGCCCTTTCA